AGAGAGAGAGAGAGAGAGAGAGAGAGAGAGAGAGAGAGAGAGAGAGAGAGAGAGAGAGAGAGAGAGAGAGAGAGAGAGAGAGAGCGCATGAAACAATTTCTTTTCAAACTGCTTAGTCAAACAGTTTCGAACAAACTTTTCAAATATATTACACGCCGCCATAATGAATAAACAAACATAAAAATTCAACGTCAACACCAGCTCCGCCAATTTTCATGATTCCTTCTTATCATCAATCGGAGGGAGCCATCAAATTCTACTGCCATCATTTATTACTGTCACATATATTCATCAACATATTCATTACTTCCACCATAATTAGTCAAAGAGTAAAAGAGGAAGAACGGCAGTATTTGTGCGAGTCGGGAGGAAGGGGGAGGGGGGAGAGGGGGAGGAAGGGGAAGAGGAAGAGGAAGAGGAAGGGGAAGGGGAAGGGGGAAGGGGGTCACACACACCCTTAAATCTAATATCTTAAGACTGCATTTGACGACGACACCCTTTCCTCAGAAATGGAGTACATCCCCGACAACATCATTTTAAGTGCTTCTCCTATTCATCGCTGTCACTCATGCCCTGCAGTTTACTCGGGGCTCGAATAACAGACTAATAATACCACACATCTCAATTCTAGTAAATATCCTTCTTGGTTCATGATCATCATCGCGGGAGGTATCGGTCAATTTCACTTCTAGAAAAAGAAATTGATCCGAAAAGTGGAAGGTGAAAACATACACAAAAATTACCAAAAAAAAAAAAAGAGAACGAAACAAAAAAAGAAAAAGAAAGAAAACAGACGATAAAACATGCCTAAAAATAATATTTTTTTTCTGAGTCTTTCACTTCTTTATCAATTCATTTCCCTCGCCGACGCCGGAGGAGAGACTGCAGGCAAAACAAAACGCGAGCTATGCGATATCTCAATCATTAATAGAATTTGCAAGTAGCTCCATCCAAGACGAATGTGACACGAGGTGCAGCGTGTCGAAAACAAAATAATTTGCATTTCTTCATTTCTTTTCCGCCATCAATAATTCCAGCGGCGGTAGTTATCACACGCAGCAGCAATGACCCCTGTCACGGCATCGGAACAAGCGCCGGTTACACCTCCGCTTTTTTCTTCTCTTTTTTCCTCCCTTTCCAGGTCTTTCTTCACACGGTTCCAATTTTATTTGTATTCTTTACTTGCTGCAGCGACGCGATTAGTTATTAAGGAGACGCTGCATGACGGAAGGGGGGCACGGAGGAGGGAGATGGGGAGTGGGGAGGGAAGGAAGGAGGGAGATGGGGAGTGGGGAGGGAAGGAAGGAGGGAGATGGGGAGTGGGGAGGGAAGGAAGGAGGGAGAAGGGACGGGGAGGGGGTGGAAAGCAGAGGAAGGGATAGGAGAGGGGAGGGAGGTAGATGGGGAGAGGAGGTGAGGGAGATAGATGGAGAGAGGAGAGGAGGGGAGGGGTGGGGAGGGGAGAGAGAAAGAATGGGTAAGGAGGGAAGAATATGAACCAGTTCATCAATGGTAAAAACCTGCAATCATGCCAGGGCATTTGGACATTATCATACATATATATACACACACCCTTAAATCAGATACAGTGAAAAAAATAGACAGGATGACAACAGCTGAGGATATTTGAAAAAAAAAGTGCCACGTGGACACTTTTCATCCAGGCAGCATACTTTCTCATCCTCGTGAAATGGGCAGTCACCCCCCCCCCCCCCACACGCACACCGCCTTCTCTTCCCCCCTCCATTCCTCCTCCTCTACCACCACCTCCGCAAACGCCCACACTTCGATTTCCAGCCCATCGTATTCCTCCACCACCAATCTCCACCCCCGCAACCGCCCACACCTCCACCTCCACCCCGACCTCCACCCCCGCAACCGCCCACACTTCCACCTCCACCGCCGAGAATAATTCCGTCACCTTAACCCACGCGGACAACAACAAGCCCACGTGTGTATATATAAATCGAAAAATTTTTGTATACAATATTACTTTGCATATAAATTCTCTTCAAGAGGGCCTATTAGCATATAAAACGCGCCCGTACACAGCGGTGCATAGGTTCCTACTATATCACAGTACATCAAAGCTTATCGCGAGCTCACGTTGCCATCAGATCAAAACACGGCCGAAGAATGGCCGAGGCGTCCAATAAAGGTCTATCAAGTTTAACATACGACTGCGGGCTATGATAAAAGAAAACATTGCGATATAACAGATGACCACGGACGATAATAAAGGGGTGAAGTCTCAGGAGGCAAGAAGAAGCAGGCAGGGCGAGCAAAGCAGTGGAGGAGGAGGAGGCAAGAGGAGGAGGAAGGAAGGAGAGGGAGGAAGGAAGGAGAAGGAGGAAGGAAGGAGAAGGAGGAAGGAAGGAGAAGGAGGAAGGAAGGAGAGGGAGAAGGAAGGAGAAGGAGAAGGAAGGAGAGGGAGAAGGAAAGGAAGAAGGGGGCGATGGGAGGAAGGCGTAGATTGCAGAAGGAAGATGTCTGGGAAAAGATGGAAAGGTCGAGATATGAAGTAAAAAAGGAGAGAAGATGGGCAAGGGGAGATTTGAACTTAAAAAGGTTCAATAGAGGTAGATCGAAGGGCAAATCAATGACCGCGAAAACAGGATAAAAAGAAAGGAGAAGAAAAGGAGGTTGTAGGCTTGTAATAGCAGGAAAGACAGAATCCGAAGCAAAAGAGGGCAAAAGTTACAGGAGAAGGAGGGGGCGAGGAGGATAAGGAGGCAAGGCGAGGACCTTCTTGCGCGAGGACCGTCTCTTGGCGCGCGGCCCAGCGAGCGCCGGGCTTCCTCCCTCTCCGCCGGGCCTCGTGGCGGTGGCCGGCCAGCCCAGGCGAGGCAGAGCAAGGCAAGGGCAGTAGACAAGGGGCGAGGCCGGGTCAAGGTCAACAGGAATAGGGAGGCTCCCCACACTTCGGCGTGCTTCAAGTTTCGCGCAGCCGTTTCGCCATAGCTGCCGTTTCGCCATAGCTGCCGTTTCGCCATAGCTGCCGTTTCGCCATAGCTGCCGTTTCGCCATAGCTGCCGTTTCGCCATAGCTGCCGTTTCGCCACAGCTTCCGTTTCGCCATAGCTGCCGTTTCGCCATAGCTGCCGTTTCGCCATAGCTGCCGTTTCGCCATAGCTGCCGCGACGGGCCTCCGCGCGCCGTGTTGTCCGACCACGCGGGGCGGGAGATGGAAGTGCAAGTCGCGATGCGAACAATTGGCAAGAAAAGGAAACTTCATTCTGAGCGCGATGATGCAAGCTTTTCGTGAACATCAATATTTTGTGACGTTTGGCAGGTCTAAGCATCTCCAAAAGCCTTCATATATCCCCGTATAAACATTCTTTTGCAATACATCCAAATTCAATACAATGCCTCTGTACATTGCACACACACAGGACTTCATAATATTTACCTTGTAAACATCAACATACGTATAAATTGCCTTCATGTGTGTGCCCCGAGGGAATACATAAGCATCACATTCAAAAACAACTATTTAAAAATTAGGGGGAAGCAACGACAGTTACAAATAGCAAACGGCTTACAAAACAGCCTCAAAAGATGAACAAACACACAGACAAGTAAACAAACAGCGTGAGAGAGGAAAAAACGGGTGCCATGCAGATATATCTACCGAAATAAGAAGTGCTCTCGGTGTGGCAACCTTGTGCTCGGATCAAAGTTTCAGAGGTCAGCAATAAATATGTTATGGCAACAAACAACTTACTCTAAGTCTCTCGTAGCGCAGCAAGGAGACGCCATATCAATATCGAATAAGGCGTAGGGAGGGGAAAAAAATATATAATAAGAAACAACGTTTTCTTACACCATGCAGATAATCCATTGCAATACCAACTATTTCGAGGCAGCGCAACGCAACCCTTCCTTCTCTGAGACTACATTATTCAATAAAAAAATGAAAGAAAAGAAAAAAGAAAAAAAAAGTGGGAAATGATAGATAAAAAAACAATATCGAGTAAAACAAACAAAACAAAAAACAAATAAACTCAAAAGAAATCAGGAAAAAAATCTTAGATAGAACCAACCCGTGCGTGTGAGCCCCCCGCCCCCCGCGTGCGTCGAATCCTGAATTAAAATGTTTGCTGGTGACCCATCCCGACTAAAAGCGATACCTTGTTTGGCCTCTATGTGCTAAAAAAGGGGGCCCGAAATTCTTACTCTCTCTAACGCGTGGCAGCGGCAGCATCGAAAGTGCAAATACGACAAAAATCTTCTCCATTGTAAAGATAAATACACATTCGCACAAGCACCCGCACACACGCGCACGCTACGCACCTACCCACACATGCGCGCAATCACTTACTAGCGCACATGTATGCATTTATTAATGTGCACACACACACCAAAGCAACCACGCACAAGCACAAGCGCACGCGCGCACACACACACACACACACACACACACACACACACACACACACACACACACACACACACATAAACGCGCACACACACACAAAGACACACACGCTCGCACGCACACGCGCACCCTCTCGCAAATCCTACACGAGCCTTCACATCAAAAGAAACACGAATAAACAAATAAATAAAATAAATCAAACGTCGAAGTTCAAGTTCTCTTGAACATCTGTGGTGAACTTTAAGTAATTACTTATAAATGTTCTCTAAACTTCAATCCTTGTCAGAAATGTAATCTCAGACTCGTTTTGAAAAATTAAACGTTTCCTTAGTGTTTCATGAAATTTTATCAAAGTCTTATTCAGTCTTATACCGATTTCGGATTATCTTAGGTGTTCAAAAGAACACTTAACATTCATCCAAACCTTTCAAGGAGACTTGATAAAAAAAAAAAAAATAAATAAACGGAACAAAATCAAACCGAAACAAAGAAAAAGTAATCAAAGTAAACAAAGAAAAAAAAAATAATGCAATCAATAACGGTCCTTCGAGAGACCAACAAAGTGATCTGTATGATGTTAAGTGTTCTTCCGGGCTGGCTAGAACAACTGAAATAACACCTACCTGGTTCATGTTGTCCGGTCTAAAGGGCAGTGGAGGCGACCAACCAAGGATTCTTACCTGCAAAGGAAAAAAAAAAACGTGAGGAAAAAAGTACTCAAAAAAAAAAAAAAAAATTAGGGAATATGGTCTTATGGAGAGAATGAAGAACAACGTTTTGAGTGAAGGTCTTTATCTCTCTGGATGTGTCTTGCGAGTACAAATATGTAAATGGGGTGCTTTTGTAAGGGCAGGCATTTGTGTACACAGGTGTATATATGATTATGTATGTACGAATCTGTGTACTGAATGTATGCGTGTAAACTAACACAGACACGCTATACGTTGATTACTTGTGCAACCATCATTAAAAGTCATTGATCTGTATTGACCGTAATAGACTCCTATTAGTCATTTCTATGTCGTATTCAAATAACCGACTTCTTCGGGTGGCAACAGTTACTTGAACATTACTTGCGAGCGCGGCAAATTCTGAACACTAACGGCCGATAGAAAAAAATACCATTATAAACTATCGCCTCGTTAGTAATGAATGCGTTCGGGTAGTTAACGACACGGCTACCGACTACACTCAGAGATAAGCGCCTCACAGTACGTCACTTGCGCGTTTCGAAAGGCAAAACCAAGGTGCATGTTCTGTTACAACTTTTGTTCAGCCAATTTGATTAAAAGAATGCTTGTCCAACTTCAACTACTTCTCCGTTGAGTCTTAAAATCGTTCCATTGTAATTACTGCTCTACCCGCTTGATGGTAATAGTAAAAAAAAAAAGGATCCGATAGCTGGGCGATTCCCTTAAACGGGGTTTTGTATTCTTAAGGTAAACCCCGTTACGCCAACCTTGAGCTAATTTGTCTAGCAATTCCAACAGCTGAATAAAACATAGCGCCATCGCATGATTGGACTTAATAACACAAATGCAATACTGTTACTTCGGGCGTCTTAAGAAACGACGAAAGAAAGACAGTGAGAGTGAATAAGAGTGAATGAGAGAGAGAGAGAGAGAGAGAGAGAGAGAGAGAGAGAGAGAGAGAGAGAGAGAGAGAGAGAGAGAGAGAGAGAGAGAGAGAGAGAGAGAGAGAGGAAGAGCGGGAGGGGGAGGGAGGGAGGGTGGAGGGTGGAGGGGGAGAGGGAGGGAGGGAGGGAGGGAAGGAGGGGATGGAGAGAGGGAGAGAGAGAAAGAGAGAAAGAAAGAGAGAAAGAGAGAGAGAGAGAGAGCGAAAGAAAGAAAAGAAAAGAAAAAAAAAAACTTAGAATGAATAAAACATTGGCATCCACATGAAAATTCCAAGTTTCTTCACAAGTAAAATTATATACTTGCGTGTACAGATATATTTGACACTCAAGCATGCTGACTATATCAATTCAATAACAATAGAAAAACATCTTTCACATACAAATATAAAACTATTCTCCGTCTAACTGGACTGGTGCTTTACGCTACACTGTACTTTGCATGACGGAAGTGTACATTCGTGAAGGCGAGAGAAAGGAAGAAGTAAGTGAAGAAAGAAAGAAAAAAATGGGGGGGGGGGGAGGGAGACAGAAGAAGGGAAGGAGGGAGACGGGGAGAGAGAGAGGGGGAGCGAAGAGTGGAAAAGAAGGAGACAAGGAGAGAGAGGGGGGGAGATGAAAGTGGAATAGCAGGAGACAGGGAGAGAGAGAGAGGGGGAAGGGGAGGGAGAGAGGGGGAAGAAGAAGGAGAAGGGGGGGTGGGAGAGAGAGGGGGGGAGGAAGAGAGAGGGGGGGGAGGAAGAGAGAAAAGGGGGGAGAGGGGGAAGAGAGAGAGAGAGAGAGGGGGAAGAGAGAGAGAGAGAGAGAGAGAGAGAGAGAGAGAGAGAGAGAGAGAGAGAGAGAGAGAGAGAGAGAGAGAGAGAGAGAGAGAGGAGAAAATCATTGCCAAGGATGATCCCCTACATATAAATACTTCCATCATTGCAATTCAAAATCACGCTGTCCACTCTGCACACGGAAAAGTCTATCGCAAAAGAAAGAGAGAAAAAAAATCAAACATCAACACAGGCCAACTGAAATTAAACGACAAAGTAATAAGTAAACAAAAAAAAAAGTGTGCTTCTTGCGTTAAGATACAATTAGGCTCAAAATCCCATCCCCCACTTGATAGATTGATTTAGGGTAAACGCATCATACACTAATCAACCGAGCTAATCTAAATACATAATTACCAACGATATTCAGATCGCAAATTAAACATTCTCGTGTAATTTTGTCAGCGATAATCACCAGAAGTAATCCTGGTACATAATTAATCCTCAAAATTTTCGGAGCTCTTAATAAATATTTCAATGTATTTTCCATTACGCTAATCCCCTCTCATTAATCCTAGGCGAAGGTAATCCCACTAATATCAAACAGGAGATTCAATTCCCGATGCCCATTAAAAAGCAAGAGGAAAGCGGGGAAGTACAGCGCTCCTCAAGCCCGGCGGAACAGGGCGGCGACAGGACTCGCTCGTCACCGCGGCGGCCGCAGTTGCATTCGCCTGCGCCTGTCTGTTAGGTGATGCATACACATCGCATACATACATACATACATACATACACATACACGCATGCATACGTACACACATGCATACATACACACATGCATACATACACACATGCATACATACACACATGCATACATACACACATGCATACATACACACATACATACATACATACACACACAGACACACGCATATACATATACATATACACATGCACATACATACACACACACATGTATATATATACACAGATAAAAAGATAGATAGATAGATAGACAGATACACAGACTTAGACAGACAGAGATAGAGATATAGATGCATACATACACAAAGACATACTAAGAGACAGATACATACATACATACACAGACCGATGGGATAGATAGATTGCAAATCTATCGCCGGGCTGACTTCGAGCGTGCGAGAAAGAAGAAAACGATGAACCGTGACCGATTTGTACCTCGAAATAAATTTACATGAAGATATCAAAACCAAAGCAATTAACCGTTTTTACCGTCTTTTTCCGAAGCCTGACTGCATAAAAAAGTAACTTTCATGCATATAAAAATAAATATGAGTTTTCGGTACACGACATATACAATGGATCTTCCAGAAAGCACAAGAATCGTCTATAATTGCCATAAGAGCGAGAGCAGGGAATTATAGGCGCTGCGGCCAGGGCTCTGAAGGTCTAATATCCTATCGCATCGCGCGGACACTGGGAGAAGGCCCTCTCATCGCCACTATAATTCACCTCGCAAGACCCGCGTTGAGGTCTTGTATGAACAAAAATATTCCATATAATTCGAAGTTCCTAAATTATAGAGCCGGAGTGGATCACAAACTCCCCTCCCCCCCCTCCCTTCCTCCCTCCCTCCCTCCTTGTGTCCCTGCACCCCTCTCCTCTCCTCTCCCCCGACCCTCCATCGTCATACCTCCCCCCCCCACCATTCCCCATCCCAAATCTCCATCTCCATACCCCCTTCCCCTTCCCCTTCCCCTTCCCCCGCCCATTTCTGTACCCTGGGAGAATCGCACAAGCTAAAGTGGCCCTTATCACCCCATCTGGTAAGGGTTCGCCGTTAGCCAACAGAAGTGAAAACTCTTATGAATAAATGCGAGAATTTGCACATGTCCTTCGCAAGGTTCTCTTCTTACATTCCCATTCACAGTCGGCGAGATCGTCCTTCTCAGGCTAAGGATACCAGACCTCCACAGAGTCGTATGATAAGTATAGAGGTAATGCGAATGGAGAGGAGGGGGGGAGGCGGTGGCGAGGGGAGGGGACGTGACTGGGAGGGGAAGGAGGAAGCCGAGTGGGAGGGGGAGAAGGGGGAGCTATGGGGGGGGGAGAGGGGATGACAACCATACCCCTTGGCAAATATCACGAATCAATGAAGTCACGATCAAGGGCAGACATTAGTTCACGTGATGAGGGACTCGGAGGGAGAGCTGTGAGCAGAGAATTTCTCCAGGCACGTGGGAGGGAGAGGCTGGTTTCGGGATGCGTGAGGAAAAACACGCGCGCGCACATGCACGCGGACACACACGCGCGCGCGCGTGCGCGCGCACACACACACACACACACACACACACACACACACAGATATTATTCATATGTATGTATATATTCATATCGATAGATATACATTGCACGTGTATACGGATATACTGAATATCTCTAAATGAATGAGACGAAGACATGAGCTAAATTGCGGCGTTGGTTTTAAGTCTCTGTAAAGCTGCATGCCCGTGATGGCACCGAGCTACAGTGTTTGTTTTTTAAGAATTATTGTTGTAAGTATGCCAGTGATGATTATACTTTTTTGGATTCTCTGTTGTTTTCATTTTCATAATAAAATATCTTAATGTTTCATCGCATATCAGAGTTATTGGTAACTAGTCCCTTCCTTTCAAACTGATTAAATGCAACTTTCTATGCCAACAAATTTATTTGTTATAAGAATTAGAAAACATCAGGATGATTTCAATCATAATAATATCAACGGTAATATGAATAATAGTAATCATACACATCATCACAATCATAAGGTTATCAATATTATCATGATTTAAAATAACAATAGTTTTCGCTTCACACATAAGAGAATAGAAAAGAAAAGAAATAAAAAGAAAATAGCGGGACCACTCGCTCATAATAACCCCAACATATTGTACAGGATTAACCTTGTCCATCGATTACGGAAAAGGAAACACGATCCTTACCATCAATGACGTGGATCAAGAAAACGAAGGAAGAGAGAAAAGAAAAAGAAAAAGGAAAAAAAAAGTATCCACGCACTGGTGACTTGACACACACACACACACACACACACACACACACACACACACACACACACAGATATTATTCATATGTATGTATATATTCATATCGATAGATATACATTGCACGTGTATACGGATATACGGAATATCTCTAAATGAATGAGACGAAGACATGAGCTAAATTGCGGCGTTGGTTTTAAGTCTCTGTAAAGCTGCATGCCCGTGATGGCACCGAGCTACAGTGTTTGTTTTTTAAGAATTATTGT